TTTGAAGGTGAAATCAATATGAAAGAAAATATCTGCCTCCCTAAAAGCCCATGTGCTTCTTGAGTGGCTCTCAAGAACTCACCAGCCTGGTTTCCTTTGATGGAACGTTGTTTGAAATGCAAGAACTGCTTGGACAGACGAGTAGTGGCTTTGCAAACCACGGTGGGGCTGGCAAGATCTGCTCTGGTTTCCTTGGGTGAAGTAACTCTGTATTTGTTCAACCTCTCCGGATACCAGTTAATGTTCTCTGCTCAGTATTTAGTATTATTTCACCTGCACATTCTTTGCTAAGCAAAGAAAACAGAGGTTGAGTTTCATGGCTGCACTACTGGGGATGGTTTTCATCTCTGTAGTGAGTGTAAATCAGGGTTTATACCAGTATAAAATTGCTGTGATCTTGGCAGGGATGGGGAGAACTGACCAGGAATTTGCCCATGTTTCCCAACTTTCTCTCTCTGAGCACTTGAGCAAGGGATATGGCAGGGATTTACCTGCGTCCAACCAGCATCACCCAGAGCAGTGCTGCTTCTGAGCTGAGCAAACTGATTTAAGGCACAGTCCCATAAGTTACACACAGGTAAAACTGAGCACATGGAGACTCACCTTGGCATTTGTGCTTTCAAGGACTTGTGAATGTCAGTTAAGTTGTCTGGTCTTCCAGTACTTCAGTGAGTACGGTGAAAACACTGGGAGATGACCAGATCTTGTGTTCCTGTGGTCTTAGATGCAGTTTCTTCATTGACTAGAAAACCAAAAGACAAATTACACAAATCCAGAGATATTCTGTGTTCCTGTTTAAGAGGGGTTTGGGATTTCCTATACGAGATCTAGATGGAAGGCTTCCAACAGGAGGGAATTCCAGCTAAGCAAGGGAGGAGAGCACAAGGGTTTGATTTTATGACCATGTTTGTGACAGATTTTATGACAAAGTTTTTCTGCATCATAAAAACCATTCTGTAAAGCCTGGCTTAGCGCACAAACAGTGCAGGCAAAAGACTTAGGGAGAAGTGGGGTGGGGAGCTCATGGCTCTGCTCTTTCTGTGGTGATCTGGAGGAAAGCTGCAAAAGAAAAATGATGGAACACTAACTTTTCTTCCTTCCCAACAACAAATCTCCTTCTGAAACGCAACTGCAATCTGTCTGGATGGCTTTTTGTCATAGGTTCAAGTTCCCTGACCTCTGGGCGAGATCTCTTGAAGTGATGGATAGCTGTGTTTTGAACGTGGAGCTGCAATGTAGAAACAGACGTTGGGTTTCAAGCTAATGAGGACAATAAATCCTGCAGCCAACAAAAATAACAAGGCAAAAGATCTTTCAAACAAGGCAGAACTGCAGTAAAGCAGCACCACAGAGGGGCTGGGGAGGAGGGGTTGCCTTTACACTCAGCCAGGGGACCGGGAGCCTTCAGGAAGAGAGTGATTCCTGCCTGGTACATGAGCTCAGGGACTGTCAAAGCACTTGGTCTCTATGCTGCTGATCAGACCGTGTTCAGCAAAGGGCTGCTGCCTGGATTGACACTGGCGGTAGTGTTTGGGCTGCAATGAATGGGAAAACTGCCCTGTGCATCAGCGGTGTCTTCTCCTGGGGAAGGTGGTGGCAGGGTGCCTGCTGGCTGCTCCAGGCTGTAGGTTAGATCTGTAAGTGGAGCTCTGGAGGCTCCCAGCGAGCTGAGCAGGGCTGCTCTTGCCTCCCTGTGGCAGAGCAGTGTAAGCATCCCTGGCAGCACTGCAAAGACAACGCAGGCATCCTGACACAGACTTCCCTGATCCGTGTTCTCCAAATAGGCAACATCCTTTCACAAATCCACCCAAATCCATGCTGCCGGGGAAGTGGCAATGGAAGGGTTTCATTTGCCCTTTATTTGCTGCCATGTTGTCCTGGTGGCCACCGTCTACCCTGAGTGTTGCGGTATCTGTAAGAGAAGATGCCTGTTACCTGCTGCCTGCCTCAGACCTCCACATCCCCATGCCAGTGGTGACTGCTCTGTCTCTGTTCCCCAGGGTCCATCACCTCCATCCGCTCCCAGCCCGTAGGAACATGCTCCTCTCTGAGAGTGCCAACGGAGTCCTTGCAGCTGGCAGTCCGTTCCCCCAACCACTGGAAGATCCTTCCCCCACACATCACACCTCGATCTCCTACTCTCAACAAGCTGTTGTGCAGACAGGTGAGAGGCCAAGAGCCTACAGAGGTAAACTTCATAGTCACCTGAGCCCTTCCCTTCCTTTCCAATCCCCTTTGGGGGTTCCTTCATTGGAGCTGAGAGGAGCATTCCCTTTTTTAGAACAAAATGTTTCTGGTGCCATAAATGTGAATATACAAGTGACACACAGGGCAAGGCCCTTTTTACCTGCTTTCATCTTTGTGGATGTACTGTTCTATGAAAGAATAGCTAAAGCATAGAGAGGAGATGCCCCATTCAGCTTCACCAGTGCAGTGAGAAGCCTGCAGTCAGCCCTACACCCTCTCACTTCAGACAGGCTCCGTTGACTCAGGATTTGGTGCTAAGGAGCAAGCCCAAAATCATGCAGAAAGACCCAGCAGATACAAGCTCTGCACACGTAGGCTCTGGGTCTGCTTGTGAGCAAACCTGCAGCCTCTGGTGCAGGGAGGATCTGAGGGGGGCAGGCATGGTGGGGAAGGCATGGGGTGGTGCACGGTGCGTTAGATCCTCCAAGTGTTCTGCTGCAGGCCATGTTTCCCCCCTGGAAGTGCTCCTGACGAAGCAGATCCCCAGGCTCTCACCCCATCTCTCCCTCCTTACCTTCCAGGAGGCCATTCAAACAGACTCCACGGATGGGCAGACCCCAGACCGCAAGGAGAGCCTGCAACCAGAGCCTGGAGAGACGCTCCCATCAGCAAAGCAGCCTCAGAGCACCTTGACCCCCAGTCCCCTCCATCCCACAACTGCCTCCCTGCCGGGCACCCCTCCGCGCTCCCCGCCATGCTCCCCACACCGGCATCCCAGCACCCTCACACGGAAGCACAGCTGTGGCCAGCACGGCATTCCCAGCCCTGGCAGCAGCCCCCCCAACCCCGAGGGCTGCCTCTTCGAGTCCTCAGACCTGGCTGACGAAGAGGTTCGCCACATCAACAGCTCAGCCAAGGACTGGGGAGGGGAGCACTCGGATGCTGGGAGCCGCTCGACTTCACCCTTCATCTCCCCAGCCCCATCTCCCGTGCCCCTCAAGAACTGCAGCACAAGCAGCCTCTCCGGGGGCAGCAGCAAGGAGAAGGACTTGAAGAAGTTTTACAGCATCGACACAAAGGGCTTCCTCAACAAGCCCAGCTGGGCAGACGACCAAAGGCGGCACTCCATCGAGATCTGCCCCTCCATCAGCCATGGGGACTGCAGCTTCGAGGACCCTGCTGAGGAAAAGCAGCGCTCCCCTGCCCACATCCAGATGGAGTCTGAGTACATCCACGGAGCCCGGAGGAAGAAGAAGATGAGCCCGCCCTGCATTTCTATAGATCCTCCCATGGAGGATGACAGCGGCGCGGCCTCCCGCACCAAACCCTCGGAGAACAGCATGCTGCGGAGACGGACCCCATCCTGCGAGTTCCCGGCTTACAGAGAGGCCCTGGAGCTCGCAGAGAGCCAGCCCGGCGAGGCGGCTTCCAAAGCGGAGCGCCGGGGGCAGCCCCAGTGCCGTGGGGAGCATCTGACCGTTCCCAACTTCTCCTTCGAGCAGTTGGATGGCGGCTCCTCGAGCAACCTCTCGGATCCGGACTGCCGGGCGGACGCCGCCGCTTCCGAACTGAAAAAGCCGGATCACTTAAAAACTCAGTGGAGCAACGCTGAGAAAAGCAAAGAGCTCCTGGGCATTGCTAAGAGCCCCCTCCGGAAGCAGGACTTGGTCCCTGTGACTGTTGCGACAGGAGAAGACGTAGATGATCCAGTATAGCTTTCTGGGAGGGGGGAACGGGGGGGATCGCAAGGGCTTGACACCAACGCGGGGTTCCAAAGCGAAGGGATGGAGCGGCCACGGTAGGTGGGTGGCTGCTCGCTCGGGTTCTCTCCTTCCTCGCGTTCACTGGGGGGGGAGAAGGGTTTGCAAAAAATAACACACACAAAGGGGAAAAAAAAGAGGAAAAACAGCAGAAAAGGAACCAAACAAACGGCTGGAAGAGACGGTGATGGGCGCCGGGGGGGGGGGGTACAACGTGGTTGTGGGGGGGTCTTTTCTAAAGGGAAGGTTGCCTCTGTGGCCTCAATCACATTGATTCGGGTTCGAGGTGGGGGGGGGGGGGGGGGGGTTTGGTTGGTTTGGGGAGGGGGGTTTTTTAAAGATGCTCAACTTTTAACAAGGCACCTTTTAGAGACGTCCCGTGAGGCGGGAGGGCCCGGGTGGGAGCTGTACATTGTCTGTATATCAGCACTTATATACATAGAAATAATGTATTTGTGAGATACAAAACAAGGACAAAAAAAAAAAGGAAAAAAAAAGACCAAAAAAAGAAGAAGATATATACCCACAGAAACTCTCTCTTCATAATGCACATATTTTTATAGAGAAACGATACTGGGTTTTGCATTACATGTGACTCTGCAACCGGGTGGTGTTTCCTTGGGGTTTATGTGGAACTAATGATCACGGCCATTCGTTTTCCAACTGGTTTCTCTTCTTTCTTCATTCACCTCCATTTCCTTCCTCTCCTTCCCTCCACCATCATCCCACCAGCTTCTTGGCACAGCTGATGCTTGAAACGTTCTTTTGTACTTTAGAAGCTGTCCTTATAACGGAGAAAGAAACCAAACCACTACTGAATTGTAGCCAGTGCAATAATGAGTTCTTCATTCTCGTCTCTGCATCTGTCCTGTTGCTTCTTTTCTCCTCCTTTTTTTGAACCAAGATTCAGGTGAAATGTTGCAATAATCTGAACTAACGTGCACAACCGTGGTTCCTTGTGGAAAAAAAAAAACATGGAAAACCAGGAAAAAGTTAAATTTACGGAGAGCTAAACCCCACCAAATGAATAAACTAGCTTATTTAAGAAATGTATTTTGTTTACTGCGGTTCACAGTAAGTTATTGCTCCAGGATGTAAAGGTGTAAAAGCGCTGTCTTAGGTGATGTTCTTTGTGAGCACTGAAGCTAATGCTTTGTCCTCCTCGCAGCAGAACGACTTCTGTCCAGCATCCCTCCTCATCCTCATGGCTGCATCCACCTCCCGTCGCCAGCGAAGCCTCCGGAGGAATCCAGGTCTCCTTTAACTCCATTTCTTCTCTCTCGTTTCGCAGTCTGGGGGTTGGGGTTTCTCTTTTAGCCTCCGATCCTGCCCTCTCCTCACCCTCATCCCAACCTTTCACCGTGGGACAGCATCACCGTGTTCCATCGGAGCAGCACCCAGCCTGTCGCGAGGACACGCCACCAGCGCTGGGTGAGAAGACAGGGGGGGAAACAAGCAGTTAAAGCAGTAACTGTTGAAGCAGTGAAAGCAATGGGTTTTGTTTGGTTCATTCCATGCCTCATATTTATGCATCCACATATATCTTCTGTTATTTATGCATCCATTACTCAAAAGGAAATGTATCTTGTTTCACATGTATTAAACTGTATAAACTGGAAGCGTGGCCTCGCTTTGTACCAGGGTGTAGCCAGAGGCTGAGCCCTGCTCCAGCCTTAAGGTCCCATTGCATCCCCCCCAGAGCCTGGCGTTCCCTGAAACCTCTTTCCCAAGCATCCTGGATCCACACTGTGCCCTTCCTGCTGATGCTCCCACCCAGCTCCAACAGCGACTCCCTTCCCTCATACAACAGCCTCTGTCTGTGGAGTGGCTTCATGCCTCCAAGCACCTGCACTGCTGTAACTCAGAGTCATTTGGGATCAGTGTAAATAATCAGTGTAAATCTTGGTGGGATAGGGAGGAACTCCGGGAAAGCACCATAAAACAACCATTAATGGTGCTCTGGGGATGATGGCAAATGCCTTTCGCTGCAGCTTAAGCAGCAGAATGGGAAGGAGGGGAGGTGAATCCCCCTGTGCTGGGCTTAATCCTGCCTGGAAGTGCCTGGTGTGTCCCTCGGGAGAGGAGGAAGCTGCCTTGTAACGATTACTGCTGGATTTACCCAGCTTTGCTGGGAAAGGAGCATCCCGTGTGCCCATTCCTGGTTCCTTTACCTGGGGGAGCCCCCGTGCTTGGCAGGAAAGGGACAATTCCCAGGGCAGCCCAACCCCAGTGCTCCCGAAACCACCACACACTGTAACCATGAGCAGGAAAAGCCTTTTTGCAACCCCCCCTGTGTGCTTCACACTCCTGCTTGGGGTTCAGTGCTCTGATTTGGGCTTCCTTTAGCCCAATAAAGCGCAGCTTTGCCAAAAAGAGCTCCTAAGAGCAGAGGGTCCTGCCTCCAATGGGCTTGCTCTTCCTTTGGCTGGAAACCTGGCTTCAGCAGGGATTATTCCCAGCGTAACAAACCCCTTCCCTGCTCTCTGTTTGCTCAGAGCTCCTACTCCACCAAATGTATTTGGTTTAACAACTGCCCTCTTTACAAAGGAGATGGTTCCTAACAGGGGATGTGATTGTCCCAGTGTCCCTCTGGGCACACACTGGTGTTACATCGATTCTCTCCCACGTGAAGCAGGCTCCATCAGGCTGCCTGCAAGCGGTGCTTAAGCTCCGAAGTGCAAAGCACCAGGTCAATGCAATGCTAATGTGAGCCATTATTATTTCATTGGGTTGATTGCTACTTTGCATCTTTAATGACAATTCCATCGTGTTCCTTGGCCTGGCCTGGCCTGGCCCAGAGGAGCAGGGCTAAAACACGGATTGAAACTCACCGTGCTGAGGAAGAGGAAACCATCACCAAGTGACTTGAAGAGGCTTCGGGTGCTCTCTGGTCCAAGGTTACATCTCAGATGGCATCAATCTGGAATTGCCTTTGTCCAGCTGGGGAGAAAGAAAGAAGAAAGCATTAAAAAAGCCTCCAACCAAGCAAATGTGCAGCATCCCCAGTGCTGTCATCACCTGTCAGCGCTGCAGCATCATACAGGTACTGATAAACACCTGCTATTTGGGCAGGCTTGCTTAGGCTGAAGGACTAAATGGCCTTTATCCATTGAACACTCCCTGGAAAGCTTTAAATACGTGGCTGTGTATTAATGGCTGGGGCCATCTCAGCTTCCAAAAGGGGGAGAGGAGGGACCCCTTCCACTAGAGCAGCTTGCTCCAAGCCCCTGTGTCCAACCTGGCCTTGAACACTGCCAGGGATGGGGCAGCCACAGCTTCTCTGGGCACCCTGTGCCAGCGCCTCAGCACCCTCACAGGGAAGAGCTTCTGCCTAAGAGCTCATCTCAGTCTCCCCTCTGGCAGGTTAAAGCCATTCCCTTTGTCCTGTCCCTACAGACCCTTGTCCCAAGCCCCTCTCTGGGTTTCCTGCAGCCCCTTTAGGCACTGGAGCTGCTCTAAGGTCTCCCCTTAAGGAGCCTTCTCCCCTCCAGGCTGACCCAGCCCAGCTGGCTGGCAGCATCCAGACACAGAACCCAACAGTTCATCCCATCCATCTTCACCCAGTTACCTTCTCCCCAAAATAAGCCTCCATGTGTATATATATGGAGGAATACATGGAGTAATGCCTGAAGGAATACGCTCACTCCCATGTGAGTATACTCAGCAAGAATTACACCAAGAACATCCTCCTCTGATGCACCATTGATGCTATGGCAGCATCCTCCTTCCATGCTGTTGGATTGGAGCAGGAGGTGGGAAGAGCTCTGAGAACAGAAGCAAAAAGCATTGAGACAAAGGGCAGGGAAGCTCTGCAGCCTCTCACCGCGATAAGACACGGGCAGGGGTGAGTCAGGCTGAAGACAACCTGTTCATTGCAGACAAATGGCACCACGAGATGGGTTCAGTGGCCATTTAGCACGTAACTAGTGGCTGTGCCACTGCGTTGCCATTCCTGTGTCCCCCACCTTCCCCCAGCGCCTGCAGGAAGCAATGGCTCTGCCCCAGGGCTGGTTTCATCCTGCCTGAAAATGTGATGGTGACAAAGGAGCTGCTGCTCGGGTGCTCCCAGACTTCCAGCGCTTCCTCACAGGCACCGTGAGGAGCTTTTCCGAGGCTGAGGCCAGCCGCCATTCATTCTCCTACTCAGGGAGATGAGTGTGGAGTCAATCCCTATGGGAACAGGATGAGAGCACCACTGGAGCCCATCACCGCGGCAGCAGGGCAGTCAGGTCAAGGTGCACCAGAGGCTCTGAGTGACGCATCCCTTCACATCTCACACGATCAGGACAATTCCAAGGGAAGAGGGGAGTGTTTCACGGCGCCGAGAGGAGCACCAGCACCATTCAACAGCCCCCGTGGAGCACCACGATCTGCGGGCTTCCATTATGGTGGAAACCAAAGCCCTGCTGGATCATTCCGTTTTCCAGCAGGAAAAGACGCTTCCTTGCTTGGGATTTCAATCACGGACAAAGATTCCAAACGCAGCCAATTGCAGCAAGAGAGGCGTGGAAAGGAGGGAGGAAAAGGCTCCCGTTATGGCTGCGAGGGGATAGAGTCCAGGTAGAGGTGAGTGCTGAATGACCCTTCCTGCTGCCAAGGGGAAGGCTGCCCAGCGCTGGGATTGACTCCTCCAGCAGCTGGAGATCCCTAGGGAAGGAAACGGCCTTACACTGGCTCTGAGCTTGCTCTGCGGTACCTGGTGGCCACGTCTTAACCAAACAGCATCAGGCGGCTCAGTGGGAACGGGTTTGGGTTTGTCCTGATGGGGTTTATCCCAGAGGAAGTTTCTCAGGAGGGATGGGGAGAAAGGGTAAGATCTGAACCATTCCCTCCCATCCCTCCAGGCTCCCCCATTCCTCTCCTGCCCAAATTGGTTTGCTGAATGTGAACAGAGAAAAACAAACTCAAATCATGGAATCATGGGATAGAATCAGGGAATCAATGAGGTTGGAAAAGTGCTTTAAGCTCACCCAGTCCAACCATTCCCAGCACTGCCAAGGCCACCACTGACCCATGGCACTGAGGCCTCGTCTCCACGCTGTGTGAACACTGCAGGGACGGCAGCTCCTGTTCCAATGCCTGAGCACCCTTTGGGGAAGGAATTGCTCCTGATTCTAATATTTAATGGTTAATAATTAATAAAAATTAATTCATAATAATAATTTTCCTGAATATAATAAATAAAACCTGACCAATCCAATTGAAGCACTGGCACAGAGTCCATCTATTGGGCTACGGAAGGTGTTTCTCATCGTGCAGTTTACCCTCAGCCCAATACAACCCATGTTGGTGTGGCATCTTGGTGCTGTCCCTTTGCCTTATCAAAGACACCTGCAACCAAATCACTGCGCGGCACTGCAGAGGAGCCAAAGCACAACGCACCCGCACCGGCAGCAGGGAGGTGAGACCCGGAGCCGCGCTCCCAACGAGGGAGCATCGTGTGGGATGCTCCAAGGATGCGAGGGGATGACCCGCAGCGTGGTACCCTCGCGATAAGGAGCACCACCGGCCTCTCCCTCCCTTCCCATCAGTGCAGGTCGCAAGGGGGCCCTGCAGAGGCTCCGATTCCCAAAGATTTCCTGCCTGGAAAACGTTCTCTGGGTCTGGTCCCTCACCCAGAAGCCGCCTCAGCCCGGCCGGCAGCAGCACCTAGTGGCCATGTCCTTAGTGCCTGCAGCGTGCTGAGGCCCCGGTGCCCCTCTGTGCTTTAAACCGGGCTCGTTTGGGTTGATGTGGGTCAATATGAGACTATGATAAATCAAAGCACGACGCGATGGGAAGGGAGAGCGGCCGGGGAGCCTCACACCCCGTGGTGGGGTGGATTATGGGGGTGGCATTGGGAGGATGCAGAGCGGGGTCTGCCCGCGGTTTGGGGCTATTCATTCTTGTTTTGGGGCGATTCAGTCGTGTTTCGGGGCGATTCAGTCGTGTTTCGGGGCGATTCATCCGTTTCGGGGCGATTCATCCGTGTTTTGGGGCGATTCACTCGTGCTTCGGGGCGTTTAGAGGCGGGTTCTGCCCTGGCCTCTCCGCGAAGCGCGGCCGCTGAGGAAGCGTGGCCCCTCCGCCGCACCGTCCGTACCCATGGCAACAGCGGAACCGCGGCCCAGGCATGGCGGCCGCGGGCAGCCCCAGCGTGTTCCTGGTGTCGGTGACCGGGCAGATCGAGAGCGGGCGGGTGAGCGGCGGGAGCGTCCGGTAACCCCGCATCCACAGCCCCGGGGCTGGCTCCTGGGGGCGGCGGTGCCGGCCCCCCCCTCGGCCCGTGGCGGCCCTCGGGCCCTGCCGCTCCCCCGGCGCAGCCTCTCCTCCTCTCCCCGCAGTTCCCGGGGTTCGATGACCTCTACTGCAAGTTCTGCTTCGTCTACGGCCAGGACTGGGTCCCCACCGCGGTAAGGACGCGCTCTGCACCCCCGAACCCATCCCGCGGCACGGGTGTGATGGGATCCGTGCAACCCCCCCGTGTATGGCACAGGGAAGGGGTTGGGGTGGAAGGGACCTTAAAGCTCATCCAGCTCCAACCCCAACACCTTCCACTAGAGCAGCTTGCTCCAAGCCCCTGTGTCCAACCTGGCCTTGAACACTGCCAGGGATGGGGCAGCCACAGCTTCTCTGGGCACCCTGTGCCAGCACCTCAGCACCCTCATAGTGAAGAACTTCTGCCTTAGATCCAACGTAAATCACCTTGTTTCAGTTTGAACCCGTTACCCCTTGTCCTATCACTACAGTCCCTAATGAAGAGTCCCTCCCCAGCATCCCTATAGGCCCCCTTCAGACACTGGAAGGCTGCTATGAAGTCTCCACTCAGCCTTCTCCCCTCTCCAGCCCCAATGTTCCCAGCCTGTCTCCATATGAGATGTTCTCCATCCCCTGCTCATCCCTGTATCCATCCTCTGGCCTTGTCCAACAGCTCCATGCCCTCCCCGTGTTAAAGACACAGTGCTGCTGGGGGGGAAGGGGGGGATATCACCTCCTTTAACCTGCTCCCCACAGGGCCTGGAGGAGGGCATCTCCCAGATCACCTCCACGAGCGACGTCTCGCCCACCACCCTCGTCTGGAACTTCCCCATCGACATCACCTTCAAGAGCACCAACCCGTCGGGCTGTGAGTGCGGGGCGTGGGCCACGGCTCCTTCCCCGAGCTCCCCCGCTCACGTTCCCTTCCTTTGCAGGGCCCCAGATTGTCATCAGCGTCTACGGACCCGACTTCTTTGGCCATGATGTGGTCAGAGGTTATGGAGCTGTTCACGTCCCCTTCACCCCCGGAAGGTGAGGGTGGAACCTGGCTTTCGGGGCAGAGGCAAAGAGGGGTTTTCCTTAGGTACCGCTTGTGTCGGGATCATTCCTCTCTCTCCTTAGCAAGTCTTGCCTGTTTGGTACAAAGAACAGGGATTTGCTAGCAGGATAGCAAGTAATCTCTAGTGATCCTGTAAAGCCACAGCTGGGATGTGGAAAACCCAAGTGTGAAATGCAATACATCTCCATCAGCACGCTCAGCATGTGCTAAGCTTTCATTCCCAGACTCTTCCTATATGACAAACACTCTTCCTATATGACAAACATATATGCACTCTTCCTATATAACACTTCCTATATAACACTCTTCCTATATAACAAGCATATATACACTCTTCCCATATAACACTTCCTATATAACACTCTTTCTATATAACACTCTTCCTATATAACAAGCATATATACACTTTCCTATATAACACTCTTCCTATATAAGAAACACTCTTCCTACATAACAAGCATATATACACTCTTCCTATATAACACTCTTCCTATATAACAAGCATATATACACTCTTCCTATATAACACTCTTCCTATATAACAAGCATATATACACTCTTCCTATATAACAAACATATATACACTTTCCTATATAACACTCTTCCTATGTAACAAGCATATATACACTCTTCCTATATAACACTCTTCCTACATAACAAGCATATATACACTCTTCCTATATAACAAACCTTTCCTTGTGAGGAGTAGGTGTTTAGTTGCCTCATGAGTCTGAAATTCCAGCACCTTTACACATAGAAGTCTTTCCAGTGCTGTTTGCTTCATCTCTTAAGTCCTGTGCGCCTTGGGTTTGTTGTAGGCATACGAGAACCATCCCTATGTTTGTTCCAGAGTCCACATCCAGGCTGCAGCAGTTTACAAGGTAATCATTAAAGACTTCTTGGTTTTAAGTCCCTGCTCGTGGTCACAAAGGTTTACACTGGAGCGTACACATGGCTGCATATTTGGATCTTAACCAGAGTTTTGTAGGTCAAACCGTGCTTTAGGTGCCTCAGTCTTTGAGGAGCTCGCTTCAACCATGTTAGCAGTGATGCTGGCTCCATTTATTCACGGCACATTTGAACACTGTTGGTTTAGAAAGAGCTCATGTCAGCAGAGCAGGCTGCTGCTGCTGCATGAGCTCCTGCACTCAGTGGCAGCTCCGTGTCCCGTGGGTTCATTCACGTCAGTGATGGGACTTGCAGAGGTGCTGCTTAGACTTCGCTCAGCATTTTAGATGCCACTGGATGCTGAGGAGGTTTGCTGCAGTCCAACCCTAAATCCCACTGTAGCTATGGTTCTAGTGTAGCTGCGTGTTTGAAGTATCAAAGCTTCGGTGTTGTTCTGGGTGAACAAGAGGTGAATTGGTCTCAAAACCGTCTTTGCCATAGGAATATTCCATCTGGCCCAGAGATAACCTGGATTTAAGATGTGTATGAAGTTGGATTCATTTCTTTCCTTAGACAAAAGGAATTCCCTTAGCAATAAAGGGAATCACTCTTTGAAACCCTGCTGCAAACAAAAGCTGGGAGTCTCCTTAAGCCCCCCGTTGTGTTTTTAACATGCATTTAATGGGCTGTATCAGACCTAAATATCACTGAAGTTTCATTTCTCTTCTCCAAGCTGGTTCACAGGGAGACGTCCGGAATTCACTGACCCCAGAGTGGTAGCACAGGGAGAAGGGAGAGAAGGTAAGTCCTGCGAGCTCCTGGCTGCAGCCCGTCCGCAGCAGGCCACAGCTTGGCCATCCCCTTGTGCTGATAAAAGACTGGTTATTCCTGTTGGGATATGGGCATCCAACACCTGTGCAGAACCCTCTCCTGACCAGCTGTATTCACCTCTTCTCTCCTAGTGACCAGGGTGCGCTCTCAAGGCTTTGTGACCATCTCCTTCAACGTAGTGACCAAGGACATGAAGAAGCTGGGCTACGACGTGACCCCAAGTGACATGCAGGACCCTTCCCAGGGGCCTCTGACAGAGGGGATGCACATGTACTGAGCTGGGCCATGAGGGCTTCAAAGGCTGACAGAGGTCAGAGCTTTGGGGCTCGCTGTGGCAAAGTGAAATGAGCACCTGCCTCAACTGAGATATCTCATTGGAGACATCAAAATGTCATCATTATTAGGAATAATTTCATTATTCCAAAAGAAACAGAACCCTGTGAGGCTTTGGAACAATTACTGTCATCCTTTCAGTAAGATACAGGTTGAAATGGTATGTAAATCAATGTTATCAGCTATTATTCAGCCTTTTGTACGCTTTTTATACACATAAAGAGCAGGAAAGTTCAGAAATGTAGCAGTGTTCTTGGTTCAAACCAGTATTACAAGCCCAGCGCTCTTTACTGATGCTTTTTGTGGTAGAACTGGGAAATGGAAATAGCTGCACCTTCCAAAAAGGGAGGAATGTGGAACTGGTCCAGTAAGATGCACACAGGCTCCTCTCTGCCGTGTGCCTCCCTCTGCAGAAGCAGCAACAGTTCCCTTCATATCCCACATAGACCTTTAGGGTTTGTGCAACTACTTCATGCACTGCAGACACAAACCTTCCCCACATCTGGCAGTGAAGCAACCTGTGCCTTTGCATCTAGAGCAAGATGCTGCCTCTTCCAGGTTTCATTTCTGTATCGAGGGAATTAAAAAGGGCAGCAGTTTTAGTTTAGAGGCGTTAAAGAGCCCCTGGTGTTAAATGTATCCTACCTTCTGGGAGCACAAACTGCATTTTAAGTGCAGATGTTGATTAAAAACTAAGCTTTGGAGAAGGCTCCGCAAAGGAAGATTGAGTTGTGTGTGGTCATGAGCAGGATTTAGCTCCAAATTGGGTACCAGCTGCATTGTGCTGCACAGGAAGGGAGGGAGGCAGCAGAAAGGACCTTCTCTTGCATAGCTCCTTCAGCCATCACCTTACACAGAAACCATACCATGGCTTTCCTTGGCTGGTTTGCTTATCAGGAGGGCAGGTAAAGCAGCCATATAGCAATGCCCAAGTGCTGTACTCAGGCTTTCCTCCCATGGCATAACCTCAGAGCAGGAGCGGACCCATGTGGGTTGTTATTAGTCACAGGAGCTCCAATGCTGCAGCATGAGGGCACAGAGCCACCTGGGTCTGAAGAGCTGCTCCTCTGAGATGATGTTAGTGCTCTTCTTTTGGGCTGAATAAACCCACTTGTCTCAATGTATTTGTCTTGCCCCTGCTAGGTTTTGTTACCTGTTTGTGGCAGGACGTTCCTAAGTCCTCGGTCATCCAAGATCTGCTGTTCTTACAGGTACCAAAGAGAAGTGGATGCTATAGTAAAATGACTCATTACTTATTTTCCTATCTCAATTTGGCCATGTAACCTCTTGTGTTTGACTGCAAACACCCAAAGGTGACTGTGAGAAAGACTGAACACGAATCCACCCTGTAAGGGACTGACCAAGGCCTTGGTAACACACAGCATTGAACTGCAGAGCCAGGACACTGTCAGATGTAGTTAGAGAGATCACTTCACAGATGAGTGAATAAATGCAATGTATTCGATATGTATTGAATAAATGTAAGCTCTGAGACGTGATCAGTGTGATTTTGCTGTGAGCATTCTTAGCATCCTTTAGACTGTTTAGAAATACTTCCCAAACATTCACAGATGATTTTCCAGCTCTTTCTTTCTTCCCATCTTGTTTTTGTTGATTTTCCACTTCCAGGAAGCTCCTCCACCAGTTGTTTTGGCAACTGCTGTGATCTCGGGACTGAGTCATGCTGGAATCCAAACTAAGAAGTATTTCCTGTTGGCTGGGAGCAGAGGCAAGGAATTTTGTTGCCTTTTCAAAAGCATTTGGGAAGCGGCTCTCCGCAGTAGCGGGATCAGTATCAGTGTTTGAAAGGCAAACATCAAACCTGCTACTGCTCCAAGAGTTTGTTTCCCTTGAGCACAGTTACCAGCCCCCATTGCAATTAGAGCAAAACTGCCCAGCACAGATTCTGCTCATGAGAAACCCGTTAAACCCAGACAAAGCCCCAGCCTTGTGCCCGCAGGGATGCAGTGAACTTAACCACATGCAGCTTTGTGGTGTCCTGCTGTGACCGATCTCCTGCATGGATCCTGTTTCAAACTGGCTGCTTACCCCACTGAGGCTAGTCAAAGCTCCCATGTGTGTTTGCACGGGCTCCATCACACTGCAGGGACCCTCAGGAAAAAGGTTAAACCAGTGAAAAGCAAGGGTTTAAAACACTTCAATCCCAAACTCCGCTGAACAGTGTTTTAGATACGGGACTAAGCAGATCCCACACCTCTACCTGCATTATTGGGGCTCTTTACCTATTGCCTCTGGGTTTGATTGGGGGTTTTTGGCTCCTCGGTGTCTCCAGCATGTTAAGAACCCCCACATACCTTCCTCAAGGCCTTCACATTTTGCTGCAGGAGCTCCTCAGCTTGCTCCTTACCCAAGGGCACACGCAGGGGCGATGCTTCCAATGCTTCCCGAGTTTGACGCTGCTCCTGCGCTCCAAGAGGCAACTGCTGATCCTGCCCATAACCATCTTCTTCTCCCCAACACAGCCTTGCTGCTGCCTCCATCAGCTGCTGGAAAACTCTGGTTTGAGGGGTGCTGGAGCACCTGCAGTGTGCACAGAATCCCTGCTCTCACGACACAGGAGTAAAAAGACACCCGCCTCGGTGCTGCCAAAAGGACATCAATAGGGCAGGGATTTACAACCCCTAAGTGTTGGTTGCAGTTAAGCGTTAAAGGTTCAATGAGCCCGTGCTCCAAGAACAGCCAAATTCCAACCTTGTTATAGCAGAGGCTCAAAGCAATTTCCTCTCACCCAGTTAATCCTCCTCCCTTGGATTCAAACCCACAGCTCCCAACCCCTTGTTGGCACAGGCAGTGGGGGGGGCTCCCAGCTGGTGCTGCAGCTCCTGTTGAAGTCTCTTCCCAGGCAGTGGAATTGCCCATAAACCTCCTAATGCAAATGGGAGGGGAAAAGCCTTGATCCAGTACCTGTGTCCTGACACAGGATGAGGCTTCAAGGCCATCAGACAGAATGAGATGAAGCTGGGGACTTGGCAGGAGCCCTCCTCTGCTCTCCTGCTCTGGAGGAGCTTTGGGGAGAGCTGCCTGCTCCCTTCATGGGAGAGTTCTGCTGCCACCATAGGAACCAGTCTAGGAGACAGCCAAGGACATGGATCAAACAGCAGCTTAGGAGCCAAACCTTCCAGAAGGAGGAAAATCCGTTGGATATTTAGAATCAGAGAATCACAGAATGGTTTGGGTTGGAAAGGACCTTAAGGTCATCCAGTTCCAACCCCCTGCCATGGGCAGGGACACCTCACACCAGACCATGTCACCCTGGCCTGTATCTTTAGGACCGGGCATTTGCAGCCCTTTCCACCAAAACAAACAGCAGCACCAGCTCCTGCCCTCTCCTGGCAGCTTTCGACCTTTAGGAAGATGCTGGAGGCTGCTGCCAAGGTTGTGTGGAGGATGCCCAAGCTCTCCCTGCTCCTCCACGGGGACTGCTGAGTGCAGTGATGCTGCCCCTTATCCTGAGAGCATGGGACAAGTACCTCTTAGTGCCACAAGCACTGAAGGAGCAGGACCCAGCCAGGACCCCCGGCACCAGTGAGTGCCCTGTTAGAAACCACCCTTTGGCCATCAAAGCCAGGCCTGAGCCTGCAGGAGGGAGGGTGCAACACAAGCTGCTTTCACAGCAGGGTGCAGTGATTCAGGCTCTGTCCTTGCGAGGGAAGCATCAGCAGGAGCAGGGAACTGCTGCAGGTTTCTATTTTTATGCCTCTATTCAGGCCAAGATATTCAAGCACCCAGATTCACCTCGCAGAACATCGCTGCTTTCAGTGCCAGACTTGCTAATGAAGACATTGAAAAAGCAAAACCCACCCCATCCCCGTCACCCAACACAACCCCAGGCAGCCCACGGTCTCCTCAGCCTTCTGTGCTGCTACAGCAAGCAGAAAGAGCTCCCTTCAGCTTGGTTACAGCCCTCAAGTTCATTCCCTAACTAAAAAGCCCTTCAAGGAGAACATGAACCCCACTGCCTGACTTGTACAGGTTCTGTGTTCACCGCTGTGGGGCAGAAGGAGGGTACTTGATGATTTTCCATCTTAGAAGTTACTACAGTACAGTGCTATGGGGAATCCCATGTGGGTTAGTGATGGCCTGGCTGGTGGGACAAGTCCATGCTGAGTCAGCATCCCATGGAGCCACTCAGCCCTTACACAGACAAAGGTCTCCTCCAGGCCCTAACTCAGCTGTGTGGCTCCCAAAGGCCAGGAAGTGTTCCCACAAAGGAGTTCTGAGGTAGTTGCATCAGGGGCTACTAAACACAGTGTCTTTGCTCCAGGAAGGTTTCTGCTGCCAGCAACAGGACCCTGGGGCTGCATCGAGCTCCAGTGACGCTGCATCGAGCTCCAGTGATGCTGCATCGAGCTCCAGTGATGCTGTACTCACTCACAAAGATCACCCAGAGTGTACTGAAGCAACTGAACTGCAATACTGGCAGCAAGGATGCCCTGGTGCGATTTCATGTCAGGTACCAGCACAGGGAGCCGAGAAGATAAAACACCTTCACTACCATCTCATTCAGCTATTTGAAATGTCACTGATTCTCCTTCACTTGGGAATGGGAACTCAATACTCAACAAGTGTTGAGAACACTCAGGTAGTGCCCAGGCTGCTTCTGTCACAGCCACAGATGACCATGGAACACCAGCTCCCACCATCCCAAGGGCTCCATTCCGGTCTAGCAGCACATGCTGTCCCCCTCCCTGCACACATGGATGTGCACCAGAACCTGCTCTGCTCACAGCAGCTGCTGGTGGCCACAAACATGCTCAAGTGCTTTAGAAGTGCTTTACTCAACACCTGAGGGCCCCATGATCCGACCCAGGTTTGGTTTAGCTCCCACTCCCCACAGCAAAGCCAGAGGATGCTCCATCTCCAACCGAGGTATTGCCACGTTCCCCCATTCCTAACTAATACTTCAACCTCTGGATGCCAATGGGATGCCAGTCCTCGTTGTTCTAAGCTCCCCATCAGAGGGCTGGTGATTAACCACCCTTATGGGTAACGGGCAGGAGCGAAGTTCCAAAGGGAACTTCCACTCATGGATACTCCAATCTCCAACGGTAACAGGGTACGATGGATTGACAGCAAAGCATGAAGAGACAGGATTGCTACCACTGTATACACCACCAGCTCCTTGCTATTCCTAATTCTGAGCTCCCAAACCTCTGTCTTTACAAATCCCTGTGTCCCAGCTCACAGGCCAGGGAGGAGGTTACCTGGAAGTGGATGACTGGAAAAGGTGGAAGCTTTCAACACGAGGCTGCATAAACCACATTGGTTCTCTGAAACGTAGCTTGCAGGTGGTTGCTGGAGTCCTGCCAAAGCCATAGTAGGAGCTGGCCCCAACCATTGTCCCTCAGTTCAAACAAGCAGAGGAGCAGAGCTGCACCACTCAGCCCAGCACAAACAGTAGAGAACAGCAATGAATGTGTTCAGCAAACCCACCTGGGCAACGCCAGTGCAAGGGGAGGACAAGCCTCTAGATCACACTTTATCCAGAGAGCCCTTTTCCCCTGCAAAGGCAGGGAAATCCCACCTCACTTCACAGGAGAGGAAGAGGAAAGCCAGGACAGGGGGAGAGCAGCTCGCCCAAGGCCAGAGGAAGGCTCAGCCACAGCCAGATCTACCTCCCAATGGGCTTTATCAGCTCCTGCTCCCTCCAGCAACCCCTTGGCTTGCAGCAGCCACCTCCTCTAAAGGAGTATTAAGAATCGAAGTTGTTTCCATTCTGAATCCTTCCTGCAGTGAGCAGCTTTACTTTAACATGAGGCCAGAATCAAACGGTGGAGTATGGATCACCCAGAGCAGCAATACTCACACATGCACGGAAGATGCCTCCTTCTGGAAAAGGAGAGGTACAAAAAGCAGTAGGTACCTGGGCTGCCAGCCCTGCAAAGGAAGTTTTGCTGTGTTCTTTACCAGCCCAAATGCAGAAGCAAAATGAATCAAATTGAAACCCAAATGGATAGGTTTCCCCCCCTGTGGCTGCTTTTCCAATAGCAGGTCCCTGCCACCACTGTGGTTTTGGCACTAAGCGAAGGGTTTGATTAGTGATCAGCCCAATGGGCAGCAAACCATAACTACGGGAAGCCCAGAGGGGCTCTGCAGAGGTACCTCTTGAAGCAGCTTCCTAATGAAGTGCCCTTCAGTTTAAACCATCCACAATGAGAAGCTGGAATCACTTCCCACCCAGAGACAGGCTCCCTGCTCCCCCATCCGCAAGGCCACTGGGTCAATGGGAAGAGCAAGACCGAACTGGTGCAAATGGGATGCAAAGACTCCCAAAGCCAGCTCTGTCCCAGCTCCCCAACCCTTACTCCATGAGCTCTGGAAGCCGCTCCTTCCCCAGCCTCCTGCCTTGATATACATACGGAAGCCTCCACCGAGCCCGTACTCGATCATCCCTCCGGAAGCGCTGTTTTAAAGAAGCAATTCAGTCACCTGCAACACAACAAGTCTTCATTTTTATTGAGTTAGTAAGGTCTCAACTGATTCCGATTTAAGTGATCTATTAAGAAACCCTCTTTTCTCACAGCAAGAGCAGGCCTGCCCCAGGAAAGCGCTGCACTCATCCAAGGAATCACATTGACAATGTACAAGAAGCATCACTCCCCACAGAGGTTTCGTTCCTCCGAGCACCCCAGGCCTTTCAGCACAAACCTTAAACCACCTCAAGCAATGCATGAGCTTTCTGGAGAACTCAAGCATGGCAGTGACAGTTTTTCCACGGGGATCATAAAACACTTAGGCAGAGCCTGGAAAAAGCAACACGCCTGGAATATAAGCAATACAGTTTTAATTCTGACCAGTCACCTACAAACCCCTCGTCTTTCCACTGTTCTGATGGCATTAAGTATCACATTTGTGACATTGCTTGGGGATGGGGGGGGGGGGGGGAAGAAAGAAAACAAACCATGACACAGAGATACAGACATTATGATACAATAGTACAAATGATAAATTATTTATACAGTAAATAATGTCAATAGTCAGCACAAATTCATAGAAAGCAGCCGGCTCCTGGGCTTATGAAACCAGTTTTGGTGATGGTTTCAGTTGTAACAGGGAAAGGAAGCGAAGTCTTGTGAGATTCTGCTGTGAAAAATAAACCCATCTCTTTCTCCGCGAGTCTGTGCAATATTAATACATACAGTACATGTTAGAATCTGTAACAGCAAAAGGGAAGATGGAGAACAAGAGCTGTCGTAGCTACGGGGCTTCAGAAAGACCGTAAACACCACAACCCACCACCATGGTTTTCCTTCCCTGTCCCCTCCATAGAGTTTAGTTTCTCTAGGGTATAAAACTAAATAAATAACTGAGCTTATTGGGGGGGTGGTGTTAAAGTTATGCCAAGGGTTGGGGTTTTTTTTCCATTTCTTTCCTTTTTTTCAT